GGGGGGGGCGAGGACGTCCCTGCGGGCAGGCGTCGCTGCGCGGGGCCCCCGCCGGGCTGCATGGCAGGGGCATTGCACTCCCAGTCTGACACATGCAATGCAACTACAATGCACCCCCGCGAGGGCCGGGGGCACCTCCCGCGAGGGCTGGGTGCTCTCCCCCCCCGTTCCCCCCCACCCCAGGGTGGGCGGCCGTTTTGCCCCCCACCCCGGCTCACCTTATCGATGGTGCCTTTGGGGGGGCTGCCGAGCTCCAGGCTCTCCCGCAGGCAGCTGCTGGCCTTCTCGCAGTGGTTCAGGCTGGCCTGGCTCCCATCTTGCTTGCTCAACATGGCTCGGACGGCTCGGAAGGAGTGCAGGGCGGCGCGGGGCAAGGGCTTTCTGCAAGGATGGGGGGGGATAAGAGTCACTGCAGACCCCTCACCGGGCACAGCTGTGCCCCCCCCCAACACTCAGCGGACACTGGGCAGCACAGCCACAGCGCTCGAGAGTGCGTTAGCAAGAGCTGTGCCAACCCAAAAAGGAGGGGAGGTGTGCGATGAGCTGGCACCCCTTTGCTCCCCCCCCCCCCCGTCCCCGATGCCCCCCCCAGCACTCACTCAGAGCTCTGCAGCGCCCGGGGCATGGTCTCCACCAGCGGGTAAAGGCGCTCGGCCCCCTCCTCATCTCCCTGCAGCCAGTGAATAACTGTGCCAATGATGGACGCCCACCACTTGGACACGGGGTCGGTGCCTGCGGGGCGGGAGGGACACGGGAGCGGGGCGTCCAGCGGCCCCGTGGCCCCCAAGACGAAGCGTCCCCCGGGAATTGGGGGGGGGACACAGGCCGGCTTCACCTGTGATGGCCGCCAAGCCGGAGCTGATGGAGGGTGCGGGACCGGGCGCACCGCTGGCGTCAGAGCAGCCGTTGAGCAGCTGGAGGTACTCGAGCGCATCGGAGAAGCGCCTGCCGGGAGAGGGGCTGTGAGCGGTGCCAGCCCCACGCCGGGCGAAGGGAGCGGGGTGCCCACCCCAGCACGTACCCCTCTCCCTGGGCAGCGGGGCGGCCGGGTTCGGGCATGGCCACGCAGCACAGTGCCTTCTCCAGGAGGTGTTCGCGGAAAAGCTGGGTCACCTGTGCCAGCGGATCCACTGCGGCACAGAGGGGCGGTGAGCGGGTACGCCTCCACCCCGAAACGGGGGGCTTGGGGGGCTTGGGGGGGGGGGGGGGGGAGTGTTACCAGGGTTGCCGGCAGAGCTGTAGATGGTCTCCCTCGGGACGCCCTTGACGGCCCAGTCCCCGTCAACGAAGAAGCGGTGGCCCAAGGGGTGGCA